CTGACTTCTGGATGGGGGGGTGGGGTGCAGTTGCTGGCTCTGAGTTTAGTTGGACCCGCTCTCAATGTTGTTGGCGCCTCCCTAAAATGATGGAGGAGGGATGCCCAGTGATGGCTGCCGACCGTGCCCCTGAACTCGGCCTGTGAGGGATGCACTCAGTGATCAGCAGCTCCATTCGCTCAGAACGGTGCACCTGCGTTACCCTGTTGTCCCAGTGGGGTTACTAACGGTTCCTGTTTTGTCCACTCTCTGAGGTGCCCTGGTTTGGGCAGTAAGTTACATGGTCACCCTGGTGACCTTCCAGTGAAGGATCAGTGCAGGTGAGAGACCTCAGACCTGTGAGGGTGGGTGTTTTAAAGATGTATTTACGAGAACAAGTTAGAAATACATCGAGACGTCAGGCTTCACATCTGTGCAGAAAACCTGATTCTTTTGTGGTTAACTAGAAGAGCAGTAATCATCATTCATTTATTTAATTTATTTTTATTCATCCCAAGGTAAGCACTTTACGTAAATTGCCATGTTTCGGTCTCCACGGAACCCTTCGATTTAGGTTTTATTAATCTCTCTGTTACAGATGAGGAAATGGGTGTTTGGGGAATTTAAGTAATTTGTACAAAATAACATGGCTGGCCTGGTTTAGGATTCACCCAGCCGTCCACACGTGGGACGCCTGAGTGATGGCGTCTCCCCCTTTGTCTTCGCTGGCCTGTTTTTCGGGTCTGTTTCCTTCCACAAACCGTGACTCCCTGGGGCTGGGGGATGGGTCTCATTGCATCCTCGGCGCCTGGCCTGGAGCTTGGCACACCACTGGCAGCCACATGGTTACCCGCTGAATGAATCACCTGGGATATCTGACTTTGCCCTCGAGCTGGGCTCTCCAGCTTCATCTGGTGATATACGCCGATGTGTGTAACCTGCTTGGCACCTGGTTATAGCCATCCCTGCTGTGGTGTCATAGCTGCCAAAGGGCACCTCAGTTGTTAACGGAACAATGGGCTTTGTCGTGTGTCTGGCCGGGGCCCAGGAACGTGGAGTCGGGTCACACTGCCAAACCACCTCGGTGTTGGCACGCACCCTCTCACTCCCCGGGCTCAGCTGGTACATCTTGGACCAGTGGTTTAGCGTTCAAGGCTGCAGCCACCCTGGCCCATCCTCGGAGGGGATCAGCGTCTGATCCATGTGTCTGTGCAGTCCCATTCGGCATTTCCAGGTCTCTCAGATGCCTGTGGGGCTCTGAAGGCAAGTCAGTCACTGCAGCTTGCTCACCTCGGACAGCTCGCTTTCACCCATGTTTCACGCTGGGAGTGAGCAGAAGACTCGTATTAGGACATCTGTGCTGTAGAGCCCGGGCCTGGGGCCCTGCGGCACAGGACAGCTGCCTTCAGAGCACCATCCTAGAACCCCTGGGGCTCACGGTCCCTGGGAGAGACCAGCCCACTGCTGAGCGGTGGACAGTTGCTGACGTGGGCCTGGGGCCGGGTGATGGGAACACAGGACGAGGGGATTCCAGAGCGTGGCAGCCATAAAGCCCTGCGGGGAGGGGTCTCGGGACAGGACAGGCAATGAGGAAGGGTGGGGGGGTGGAGAGTCCTGCTCTGGTCCCAGGAGAGATGAGTGATATTTGGGGCTTTGTAAATACAGGCAGCTAAGGCACTAGTGGTGAGGCCCCCTGGCCTCAGCCCTACCTACCTAGTTGGTGTGAATCCCACCTGTGGAGGGGAGAAGGGGAAGGAAGGAACGGAGGGAGGGA